TGAGGAGGTGTCGGGAGACACCCTCTATCAGAGCCATCAAGGGTGGTAGCTGAGCAGGGCCTTGGACAGGGCGGGGCTGGTTTTCCCTACCTGGGAAAACCACCTTTCCCAACACCATGAGGGCACACGTGCCACCAGATAGTTTGTCACCTTCCCCTCCTTAGCAGGACAATGGTGGGAACGTTCATCCTCCCCTGCAGGCAGCCAAAGACAGCTAATCCAAGAGTCACTGAGCAGGGTGGCCACCACACTCACCACAGCGCCAGCATACAACCAGAGCTCACCACAGCGCCGCACACAGCAGGCGCTCACCACAGCGCTGGCATACAGCCAGAGCTCACCACAGCGCCGCACACAGCAGGCGCTCACCACAGCGCTGGCATACAGCAGGCGCCCACCACAGCGCCGCATATAGTAGGTGCTCACCACAGTGCCGGCAGACAGTAGGAAGGAGCTCAGTGCACTGGGCCATCTCTTGAGGTGGGGGTGGTAAGACACATTTTTGGGCAAGGCATGGCCCCTCTCCAGCCTCCTGTGTCAGCAGGACGGGCTGCCATCCTGCAGGCCGTGCCACCCTATGTGCCCCAAAGCCCTGGCGGGCACTGCAGAAACACAGCGGCAGTTCCTGGCTCCGCCCGGCCGGCATGCCATCCCCAGCCCAGAGCCATCGCCACGTCCCAGGTGTGCTCCTGGTATGAAGGAAACAATGGCTTTCCCCTTACCAAAACCCACAGCAAAAACTCTCTTCCCTGCTCTTTACTGACCAGGAGAGCAAGGTGGAGGCTGGCGAGGGGACCTACCCAAGGCCCCAGAGCTCTCCCAGAGAGTGTCACCTACGAGAGCCTGACGCAGTTCTCCTCCCCTGCAGGGCCCAGTGAGAAAGCCAGGTGAGGGTGGGGCAGCTTCCCCAGAAGGCCCCACCCTGCTCCACCTGGCAGGGGCAGGAGGGAAGGGCATGCCAGCAAAGTCCATGCTTTTCCAGGTCACCAGGGAAAGGAGGCCTCGCCTGGGACAGGCCCGGCCAGATCCCACGGTGAGGGCACCGTGGAAGCACCTCCCTGCTCCTCTCTGTGGGAGTCAGGGTCCAGCAGCCATCCCGAAGGCAGGGAGCTGCCCCCCAGCCCCTCAGCTGCCCTCCCCCCAGGGCCTGTCTGACACCTGGGAGAGACCCTAGCCACCTCAAAGCCTCTGACCCACTGAGAGAGTACCCGTGGAGCTTTCAGAAAAATGCAGACTGCAGGGTAAGGTGAGCCAGGGCCCTGGGAGAAATTCTCCCGCACAGCTGCAGGTTGCACAACGGCCAGGTCCCTACCTGCCCCCAGCGTGTGGCAAGGCTGCGTTCCAAGCTGAAGGCTGGGGAGGAGCAGGCCTGGGACCTCCCACACACAGCAGGGGTGCACACAGCTCCTCAGGCTCTGGGTTTTCAGCCTGGCTACCGAGAGTGGCTTTCAGAACCTGTCCACGGACAGCGCTGCCCCGCCCCTCCCGTCATTTCAGTCCAGTGCCTGTACTCCTAACCCACCTGGGAAGTGAAGCCCAAGTGGGAAAAGATGAACGGAAACACAACTAGCAGTTCCTAGCGCTGGCTGAGCCGCAGGGGAGCGGGGTCCGGCTTCATCTCTGTTCACCCTCCCAGCTCTTCGAAGACTGGCAGGTCAGGAATCCGAGGCTGGGAAGGAGTCTGTCCAATACTCCCTGACCCAAGATGAGTGACCAAGGGTCAGGCTGGTTTCTACTGTTTGCTATTCCGTTAACAGTGCCTGACCTGGCCAGGAAACTCAAAGAGACGCAGAGATACTCATGCCAGGCGCAGGCACACTGGGCACTGCTCATACACCTGGGACCCACAGCACAGCTCCTGGACGGCTGGGCCTGCATTTCCCACAGGTGAGGAAAGACGCCATGGGAGAGAGAGGGACACAGAGACACAAGCACAGACAACCAAGGTCCTCCCCAGCACACCTAGGGATGGTGCCCACAAGGGGTGAGGCAGAAGGGAGCTGGGCACAAAAAAGGGCCTGCCTTGAACCCCAAAGGCCGACGTGGGCAGAGCTGGAGCTGAGCCACCCCATCCCTGCAGGAAGGGATGGACAACCTCCTAGAATCACGGCCCCAACCGCTTCCAGAGCAGAGGCCCCGCTCATGCAGTCTCCCAGAGCCCCTCTGCTCCAGACACCCCAGAACTCCAGGACACGCCCCCTGACTCCCAACCACGGCTTCCCAGCGGCCTCTCAGTCCCTCTATCCCTAAGCCAGCTCTACCTGCCCTTAGGGACTGGGGGTGCATGCGCCTATGGGAGGAGGAGCAGCGGATCCAGGACTGGGACAATCACAGCCTGGGGTACCTGGAGAGCCCAAGACAGTTGAGGCAGGTCTGGCCCAGATCTGAGACTCTGAGCAACAACAGGGCCTCTGAAGATTTCTGTCGTATGGCAAAGGCCAGTGTGCAACAGATGCCAACAGAGCTGCGGGAGGAACCCCGGGGACGCCCGGCCCAGACGATCTCCACTGGCGGGACTCACCCTGGGGGCACAACAAAACCACCAGGGAAACCCAGTGTCCAGGCATCCACCCCACGGCTGCTGATCTGATTGGTCTGGGGTGTGGCCTGGGTACCAGGAATCTTAAAAGCTCCTCATCTTAAAATGATCCTGATGGCAGCCCAGGTGAGACCCACTGAGCCATGGCAGCGTGAGGCTGGCCCCAACCCGGGTGAGTTCACTCAGTCCACCACTCCACACAGACCGACCACCTCCTCACACCAACATTGTCCAAGGACGGAGACCCAGAGGAGCCGGCAGCATGGAAAGAAAGCTCTGCAGAAGTCACAGTGAAAACACATGCAGGCATGGTACCAAAGCTCCCGGTAGAAGAGCAACATCAGCCACGGAGACAGCAGGACCAGGATGGGAGCACTGGGCACACAGGGGTGCCCCCACAGTCCTCCCTGCAGACATCCCCAATCCACCACCCACAGCCCTCCCTGCTGGGTCCCAGGCACCCCATCAGATCTGTCAGAGGCTGGAGCAACCTCTGGGCTTTCCCAGGCGTGGACCCAAGTGTTATTTTACAGTGGCAGCAGCGAAGTCCGGCTCCATCTTTGCCTCTGCCCCCTTTCCTCAGGAGCTTCTGGCCCCTTCTGTCCCCAGTGAACAGCCACCAAGCACCCACAGCCCCATCCCCACCAGCCTTGGGGACACGTTCCCCCAATGCAACCAGGCTGTCCGAGCGCATTGCCAGCAGGGCTCGTGGCCACGTGCGGCTGACGGAGCTCCACCAGATTCTCAGCCAGGGGTCAGGAACACAGCCCACAGGCTCCACCCCAACGGGGCATCCCAGGCCTGGAGGCCCACCAGGTCCACGAGCAGCATGAGGAGGCAGCGGTTCCCTCTCCTGCCTGCCGGGGCCTGGCACCCCCACACTGAGGGCGTCTCTGCCCGCCGCCATGGAGAGAGCAGGAGGAAGCAGACAGACTGCCAGCGCCCTCCCTCCTGGCTGCGGGGAGGAGGGTGTTGGATGCACAGGAGGTGTGACCTGCAGGGCCGTGGAAGCTGCTGGGCAGTGAACACGCCTTTGAAAGTAAGTGAGGGTTTGCTCAAAGTGAAGGATGCCTGCGGCAGGGCCACATGCAGGGAACCCGGCTTACAGTGTACACGCGTGGGGCCCCGCCCACACATACACGTGTACTCGCAGTCCAGGCCCGGCACGCTGGTCCAGGGCCTCCTACAGCTGTGGGCCAAGCAGAGGTTCCGCCTCTGGGCGGCAGGGGTACCCCTGAGCAGGACTCCAGCAAGCCCACTGAAGATAACAAACCCACCTCCTCTCCAGCTGGGAGAGCTCAGTTGCTGTGTGCTGTTGATTCAAATGTAAAAGTTGTTTTTTTCTCAAGCCCGAGAATCCCCCATTTATGGGCCTGCCCCTCCCAGCCATGCCGGCAGCCCCAGCCCCTCTCCGACCTTCCAGAAGGGGACCCTGTACCTGGCGCTGCTCATCCACCAGGCCCACACCCCCAAAGGCCAGCCAGGACAGCACAGGCGGTGGAAGGGTGTCAGTGAATGTCACAGACCCCAGCTGCCTTTCCAAGTGGGCACCAGGAGGCAGGGCCAAGTGTCCTCAAGGAGAGAAGAGCAGGCCGAGGACGTCCTTCCTCACACCAGGAAAGGCAGGAGAGAGCGCACACGTCTCCAGGGTGCTCCTGACTCCCTGCCAGAGAGAGGCCCAGGAGCCCTCGATGTCCCCAGAGGGAGGCTGTGCCGACCTCAAGCAAGACCTGACACAGCCCAGATGAGCATGTGAGCCGTCGGCCGTGAAGCCTGCCCCATGCTGCCCCCACCACCCCTCCCAGACAGTCCCAGGCAAGCCCTGACTTTGTTTCCCTGGGGCAGCTGGCCCCTTGTGTCGAGCTGGCACCTGGGAGCTGCAGGACTCACCCTGGGCGAACCTCCAGCCCCGCCAAAGGAAAACAGGCCCCAGCAGGAGGCCCGGTGGTCCAGACAGACGCCACTTCCTGCATGGTCTGCACACAGCTGGGCAGCCACTGTGCCCACCACTGGGCAGGGGTGAGGCAGGGAGGGCAGGGAGGGCAGGGGGGAAAGGGGACAGGGGTGAGGCAGGGAGGGAAAGGAGGGCAGGGGTGAGGCAGGGAGGGCAGGGCAGTGCCACCAGGCCCTGTGCTGCCCACCTGGGGCCTAGAGCAGGGCCGCTGCTCAGCAGCAGGGAAGGATTACAGCCCCTCGGCCTTCCTCATGCCCCGGACTCATCCAGGGTCCCCGAGGCAGCCCTCCCTGTGCTCACCCTTCAGACCCCTCAGGGGCTGGCCAGATACCACACCTCCCTGCTCCCCTCCCCTTGCCCCCCATGCACCTACCCAGGGTTTTCCAGGGGCCCCAGGAGGCACAGAGGCAATCTGCCCCTTCCTTCATCTCACCAGGCACCATCAAACCCACGGCGGCACCAGGGCCTCGCTGTCGTCCTCATCCCATGCCCAGAACCCCCACCTTGCTGCACCCCAGCCCAACTCCGCCTTCGACAGCCCCGACTCCCACGGCCTGTGCAGCCTCGCTGGCTCCCAGGCTACCCGGAGGTCCCTCTGGCTCCAGCACCATGACCCACGTGGGCAAACTCGGTGGGACTCTCAACCTCAGCCCCCAGGCCCTCCTGGTCCCCAGGCACACGTGCACACAGAAGAGAGTGCCCACCCGACCCAATACACACTGGCCACTGGCACCCCCACTCCCCCGCCAGAGCCGCAGATGCGGCACACGCTGCACGGCCTCCATCAACCTCTCCGAGGCCCGCACGCCCCCTCTGACCAACCCAGCTGTCATTCACCTGGAGTTCTGATAGTTAAAAATGCGTTCACAGCAGCGGATTGGCTATTACATCTCGGGCCTTAATTAAAGAGGGCGGCAGAACGGCATTTTAACCAACAATGTCATTTTCTCATTGACGCAGCTCCATTATCAAGAAAAACACTCAAACCGGCCTGAAACGGAGCTGGCACCCCTCCTCCACCCTCCTGGAGGAGCAAGGACGGTTCAGCTTCAATTTTTAATCTGCTGATGAAATATTCACAGACCGGGGAAGGGATTACGTTTCCTGAGGTGAAGGATCCCTGCCCTGTTGGGGCTCCCCACCCGGGAAGACAACAGAGTTTGGGGTGCTGGGGTCAGGGCCATCGGAAGGAACAGAGCCATGCTGGAGACCAGCCTGCCGGGCCCGGGGCCACCGCTTTGCCCTCCTCTCAGCCCGCTGATGGCACAGGGCCCCTCGAGAGTGCCCCCCAACTGCCCCTTCTCTGAGGGGGATGCTGGGGCCCAGAGGGCCAGGCACTGGCCAAGGCCTCCCATTACATCCCACCGGGCATCCTAACCCAGTCCTGCCACCTCTTCAGACTCTGGCAGCCCCAAGCCTGGCCGTGCAGGAGAAGGGGGCCCAGCGTTCCGATTTCCTAAGCAAAGACTCAGAGGGCTCAGCCCCTGCGGCCAGCATTCCACTACAGTGGGGTGTCTGCACCTCGAGGCCATGTGCCTCCCGTGAAGTCTGAGGCTGGTGCCCCATGTTACAGCAAGGGACGCCGAGGCAGGGGAGGGACGCACACCCGCTTGCTGAGGCGCAGGGCTTCTTGCGGGTGCAAAACAGGCGGCCTCCACGCCGTCACACAGAAGAGGGGCTGACGTCGGCCCTGGGGACAGATGAGGACACAGCAGCAGGGGAGGCACCACCCAGGCCAGGCCGGGCCCAGGCTCAGCCACTCAGCCCCTCAAATACGTCACCTCATGCGGCGGGGACAGGCAGCCAGGAAAGCGGTGCCACTGGTTCCCCCCCACCCCCACCCGCCTCAGAAGAAGGCATGAAAATACCCCTGCTGGGGCTGCTCTCAGGAGCAGGCTGGCTTCTCCACAGGGAAGGGTGTGTGCAGAGCTGGGCCAGGGAGACCCCACCAGGCATTGCCTCGGGCTCCCCACGTGGGTGGGCACAGCCAGGGCACAGTACAGGGGCCTGCACAGTCCTCACGTGGCATTGGCTGGGGCCTGCTGTGCGCGGAGAAAGACAGACACTAGCCAGAAACCACAGGCCTCCGAGTGGAGGTGACCGCCCACGGGAAGCCCCTGGGGACCCCAGCCACCAGCACACCACCCATGTGGCTGCTACACAGTGTGTCCAGCTCTGGGCCACCACCCCCTCACAGAAAAGGAAACTGAGGCACGAAGGGGCAAAGGGCCTTCCAAGACTGCAGCTGGTGAAGGGGGGGCCAGGGGGTGATACCAAGTGCTGTGTTCAGGCCACTCTTCGGCTCCAGCCCCACGGGCTCTCTGGGGCCAGTTCCTCCCTCCCCTGGTGGTCTCCAGGCATCCTGCCCTGGGAGCCTGACACTGACCAGCTGCCCACTCGGCCCCAGACAGGCCGTTTAATCAAAGCATGTGATCGGCACGACATCTCCTGATATCTCTGGGCAGCTGCGCCCCCCCGCCCCCGACACACAGCCATCTGGTGGGTCCGCTCTTCCTGCCCACAGGCCGGCAAGTGCTCTGGAAAGTGGCATGAATCAGCAGTCCTGGGCTTGGGGACGGGGTCCCAGAAGTGCCTGGGGACCTCCAGACACCAGCTGCAGCCAGGAGCTGACCCAACCAGGAGAGGAAGGTGTCACAGGCAGGACGAGATCATGCACACTGTCACCACGGAGAGCCCAGCTCTGCCCCTCCTCCAAGCAGCCTTCCCGGGCGGACACCGCCCGGCGGGCCCAGCCCTGCAGAATCCTGTGCACCGGCCTGCACTTCCAGACACACAGGCATTTGGGTGGAGGAAAAGCCCCCAAACTTCATGAGACAAGTCAGCAGGTACACAGGTATCCTAGCCCAATGCAGGGTCTCCCGACGTCACCCGTGCGTGGGACCACCTGGGAACCCTGCCTGTCTGGCCCATGCTCATCAAGTTGCTGGGCCCGTCCAGGCACACTCCTGCCCACCACGAGCTTCAGGGCTGAGCTGCCCCTCACCACTGCCAGCTGTGGCAGCCAAGGACTCAGTCCACCTGAGTCAGCCTCTCCTCTTCCCCCACCCACCAGCCCGTCCCTGTCCTCCTTCCTGCTCCCCGAGGAGAGGCCTTCCTCCCTGCCACCAAGCTCAGCCACGCCCTCCCCCAGCCCGAGGTGCCCGTGCCCAGAGCTACCCTCAGCAGGCCAGCGAACAACGCCCAGCCATCCAGGTGCAGAGCAGGGGTCGGCAGGGCTGCCACGTGCCCAGCATGAGGTGGCGGCAACTTGGGGCCAGACTGGGGCAGGGATTGGGGTCTGCAGCCCAGCCACACCCCTCTCTTGTAAGAGCCTCCCATGAGGTGGGCGGTGCTCGGGACCCCTCCCCGCCCTCGGTGAGTTCAGGGGCAGCACAGGTCCCTCCTGGGAAGCAGCGTACCCACCACACATCACCAGCCTTCTCAGCAGGAACCAGCCCTTCACTGCGAGTGACGGAACTGGGTCTCAGATACGCCAGCCCCTTCCGAGCTTTGAGGCCCAACTGGCACAAGGTCATGGTTGGCACACACATGGCGCAGAGCTGGTGTCTGAAGGGAGGCCCCACCAAGGTCTGGGGGGGCTGGGTGTTTCAAAGCCACACACACAAATTCAGCTCTCCCTCAAGACCGCACCCCAGGTCCGGTTTCCCCGACCTCGGCATCCAGCAACCTGAGGAGGCACGTGGAGGCTCCTCACCACCAAACCCTGCACCCGGCCCGAGGCAGCACCCAGCAGACGTGTGATGCCTCTGACAGTGGATAATGCACAGGCACCATGCGGCCTGGGACCCCGAGGACAGGGCATGCCCAGGGCAGGCAGCAGTGGGCAGGGGCCAGCCCTCCGTGGCAATCCCACAGCAAGGTGGCCGTATGAGCCAGGCTGAACTCAGCCAAGACTCAGTCCACGTGTCAGCCACCTGCGTCCCCGGGGACCAGATCAACATTCTGCCCGTGACTGTCCTCCATCTGCAGCAGGGGACAAGCAGCCAGCATGGGCCCTGGGGGACCCTGGGACAGAACGGGGCTGCAGGGACCCTCCCAGCCAGCCCGAGCTCACGGACGCTGCACCTGACCCTCGCTGCCCTGAAGACCACTGCGCCACAATGCCTGCTGCACCAGCAAACGCTGCTCCATCCTCCCTCTCCAACCCCTGGCTCTGCCGCCAAAATGTTCCAAGCTCCAACCACAGACCTGGAGGTTCCGCCTCCTGGGAGGCTGCCAGGTCTCCCCCAGAGCTCTGGCATCAGTGCACACTGCCCTTCTCATCTGCACGTGGCCCTGTGTGGCCTCAATCACAACCGGTGCACCTGGCACCCTCAACGCCCCTCGGTGCCTCGTGTCCCCAGAAACGGCACCACTGTGCAGGCCCTGGTTACCCCGAGCTCCTCCGTCCCCATGGCCACAGCGCCACCACCTCTTCGTGGCCTCAGGACTCCCCTCCTGCCCCTAGGATCCAACCTCAATAGCCGCCAGGACCGTCGCTCAGCACTCACGACAGCTGAAGGGGGCTCCCCACTGTCAGGACAGGCCCAGTACCTCTGGCCATACCCCCCTGGCTCTGTCACCCACCAGCCCCCTCCTGGCTGCCCAGCTCTGAACTGACCGCCCCATGCCCGGGCCTTTGCACACGCTGTTCCCCTGGCCTGAGGTCCTCCTCCACCTCCCCGCCGGCTGCTCATTCCCATCCACAAGCCCAGCTGCAGCATCCCCGCAGAGGGCCTTCCCCAGCCACGCCGGCCAGTGATCCTCCGCATACCTGGAAACTGCCTGTCAGCGCAGGCCCCTGGCCATCCTCGCCCAGCCCCGTGCTCCTCCAGAGGAGAGGGGTATGGGGTCACGGCAGGGGCTGGCTCTGACCGACCAGGCCCCCCTCCTGCTCAGCAGAAGCCCAGGCGCTGCGGCCCCCATCAGGGCAGACAGCACGGTGTCTGCCTCCCGGGCAGGCGGAGGGGCCGGGCTGTGCTCGGGGCGCAGAGACAAAGGCAGGCTGACCACGAGTGCCCGCAATTAATCTCGGTCAACACTGCGGCAGGGCGCGTCGGCCGCCCAGCAATTTACATTTTTATGAAATTACATACGAAAATTAGAAACATTATTACTTCCCTCGGCCCTTTAACCCTTTCTCTACCTGCTCTCCTTGCAGCCGCCCCATCCGGCCCACAGATGACCACGAGGTCCCCACCCCACCCCCACCTGCCTGCCACCCCCACAGTGATGGCAAGGCCTCCATCCCACCCCTGCACATCACCTCCACAGTCATCAAGAGGCCACCATCCACTACCCCCGCCCTTCACCTCCACAGTGACAGAGAGGCCACCACCCACCCCCACCTACAACCCACTCCTGCCCGCCCACCACCTCCATGGTGACAGAGAGGCCACCCACTCCTGCCTGCCTGCCACCTCCACAGTGACGGAGAGGCCACCACCCAACTCCCACCTGCCTGCCACCTCCACAGTGACGGAGAGGCCACCACCCAACTCCCACCTGCCTGCCACCTCCATAGTGACACAGAGGCCACATCCCACTCCCACCCATGTGTCACCTCCACAGTGACAGAGAGGTCACCACCCTACTCCCACCTGCCTGCAACCTCCACAGTGACAGCTGGGCCTTCTCCCCAAGGGTTAGGCCCAGGATGTGGTGCCTGGAGACAGTCCCTCCCAAGCTACCCCCGCCAGCCTGGCCTTTCCCCTCCGTAAGACGGAAGCAGTGAGGCGCTGGTGGGACCCCAGCCAGTCCACCTGTCACCTCCTCCAACCCACACTGTCCCAACTCGGGCTCCCCAAGCCCCTGGGGCCTCCAGAAGGACCCTCCCTCAAAGGCAGCTCCTTTCCCACCCTGGGCTTCAGACGCCAGCAGCTCAGGAGTATGAGCAGTGGGGTGAAGGCACAGCACACCCCAAAAACGGGGGCTCCTCCCTGGGGGTGTCCACCCACAGCACCCAGACACATGTGTCTTTCAGCCAATAATGTGAAGCTGGGCAGTGCCAGGACACAGGGCAGGTCCTGCAGTGCCTAGGCACACCGAGTCCCCAGAGCCCAGGTCCTGGTCAGGAGGACGAACAAGAGCCCCAAGCACACCCGGGAACGGTGGTCACTGGCAGGACCTGCAGAGCACTCAGGAGGAACAAGCGGAGCCGGCCACGGGGACCCGGGAGGGACGAGCGGAGCCGGCCACGGGGACCCGGGAGGGACGAGCGGAGCCGGCCACGGGGACCCGGGAGGGACGAGCAGAGCCTGCCACGGGGACCGTGGGGGTAAGGCCACGGCAGCCTGGGGTTCAGGGAGGCCTCTCAATGAGCTGACAGCTGAGGGAGACCTGAAGGGGCAACAGCAGAAGTGCATTTGGGTGACAGGACGGCACATACGAAACTGACGGTTGAAGACCTCACATCAGTCAGCACAGCTGGTCCCCAGCAAGCCACAGGAGGGCATGGAGGGCCGCGCCAAGGATGAACGCCAGGTCCCGGGCCAGGGCTCTACCCCTAGGACCACGGCAGAATGACAGGAACTAAAGAGGGTGGCATGACCCCGATCCAGCGCTTAGAATGGGCCAGCACTGGCAGAGCCGAGGGCCCCTGCATGGTCTCCACCACCACATCCCTCTGGACTGCCGACCACACCCTGCCTGAACCCCACCCCCAGAAGTGGCCCAGGCTGCTGCCCCGACTCTCAACTGTCCCTACATGGACACTGCAAGACACACATGTATCAGGAAACATGGGCACAGAAGAGGACCTCCTGAATGGGAAATCACGGAGGGCTTCCTGGAGGAGGGGCCATCTGGACACAACAGCAGCCACAGTCCCACCTGGGGGCACCCGTTCCACGTTCATCTGTGCCGGGAACTGACATGTATTTAGTCGTGAATGAACCAGGCCAGAGAGTCAAGACTGATTATTTTCAGTTTCCTTGTCACGCATTTTGCACTGACAGTGTCAGGCCTGGGGCTGGGGAGATGTAAGTTAATTTCAACTTCAATTGCTGTCTCCTGCCTTGGCTCCTTCTCGGTTCCGGGTTTCACAAGTCCCTTAGGAGGACCAAGGCAGGCAGTCGGTGGGACAGGCTACTGGGGCTGCCATCAGCTCGTGGGAAGACCTGCCCGGCGCAGCCAGGCCAGATACGCGATGTCAGGGTGACAGAGCCCCCATCAGAGCCCCCGTCCTGCCCGTGGCCTTGGTCTCTGCTTGATGGAGACCACCAAGGCCAAGGCTGAGGCTTCTCCCACCCCAAACTCCAGATCCCTCCAAAAGGATCCATGCCAGTCCCAGGGTGGGGCCCAAAGCGCCGTGAACCAACCAGGTACCCCCACTGCTGACCACCCAGGGGCCCTCGAAAACCCAGCAGGGCTTTGGCCCAAACTAAAGCTCCTTCCCGGCAGCTACACTTAACGAACACCCGGCACCTGGCACTCCACAGAGCCGGCACACCCTCGGCCGGGCAAATACAGCTAGACGGGGCTACGTTACCCCACTCACCCGCTGGGGACACTGAAACCCAAACATTGTCAGGGCAACCGGTGACACCCTCCAGGGCACGTCCACTTCCATTGTCTCGGCCACTGGCAGTGGTCCCAGCAGAACGGGGGCTGCCATGCTCACTGAGCTGGAGCAGGCTAGGGCCCACCCTCCACACTGCAGCTCAAGCGCCGGGCCTCGTGACTCCAGCCAGCTGTCCCCAGGCACACGGCCCGAGGGGCACAAGAGGCAGAGCCCACTCTGAGTGGCTGTCACTGCTCCCCTCCTCCCCAACTCCACATCCGCTGCACAACTCTGCTGGCTCCACACTAGGCATGAGGCCCACACAGAGCCTGTGTCCATCACTACCACCCACGTGCTGGGTGAGACAGGAAGCCAAGTGCCCACAGAACGTCAAGAGGACCAGGGCCCAGAGAGCCTCCTGCAGGAGGAGCGGGAAGCAGCTGCTAAGGGGTATGGTGGTGGGACTAGAGGCAGAATAAGCTGTCTCCTGAGGATGGAGGGGCCTCCGTGGCCAGGGCGCAATGAGAGCTTCACCCTGGGGCGCCACAACGGGTGCCAAGCAGCAGAGAAGCAGAGACCTCGGAGGCCCGGGAGGTGGGGAGGAGAGGGCCCCGTCCCCACCCTCCCGTTGGGAGCCCCCAGAGGAAGGAACCAAGGGCTCCGCTGCCACCTTCGTAAGGGGAATCTAAGCCTTGGGCGGGTGCCCAGGGTTGGGGTTTTTGTCAAGAAGCCTCCGGTTCCCCCACCCTGCAGCTGCTGAGTCACGAGCAAAGGGGTGGGACCCCAATCTCAGCCCATTCCAGTGGTGAGGGCAGGAAGCTGCGCCCCACAAGTCTCTCCAGATGCCAGGCCAGACCCCAAGCTGCAGAGCCAGCCCCCTACCCACTCCTCTACCCAGGGAGGGGCTACACCACAGCATCCGCACAAGTCGGTGCCCGAGGGGGCTGGGAAAGGGAGGCCCTGAGAAAGGGAGGCCCTGGGAAAGGGAGGCCCGGGGCGGTGGGGGAAGACCTCTCCACATTTGTGCTGCATGGGCCCCGGCCTCCCAGGTCCCTGGGGCCAGCTTTAAGAGCAGGGGACGCTGGCCTCAGGACAAGGATGGAAGGAGAAGGACAGAACAGGCGGGCACACCAGGCAGAGGGAACAGCATGACAGATGGCACGGAGGTCGGGCCACATGGGACACAGCCTCCAGGGACCTTAGCAGGACCAGGCCCCATGAGGAAGGGCTGTGTCCTGTGCAGAGGGCCGAGGGGGACACATCCACCCCATCGTGGCAGGGCCACGAGGGCCAACGACTGGCCAGAGGGTGAGAAGGCGCCAGAGGGGCCCATCTGCTGACCCAGCCAGCCCGCCCCGCCTTCCAGGAGGAAACACTCCTTCCCACAGTTCAGGAAGATCCTCTTTGCTTAAAGAAGAATGCACACTTCCCTCAGCTCAGCACTGCACCCGGCTGGGGATGGGCAGATGGAGCGCTGGTCCCAAGGCCCGCAGGCTGTGACAGCCCACCAAGTGCACACATCTCTCCTCTGGCCGCTGAGCAAGATGGGGATAGGACAGGGTCTTGACCCCTCAAGTCCAGGTCAAGGCTACACCCGCTGACTGGCCTTGCTTCCTGGCCCTAAGCAATCTCTAGGTCCTAGGATGGTTCCAGAACTAGCTGCCTCTGAAACCACTCCTCCCAAGAAAATGCTTCTTCCTGTGAGGCAGAACACTCGTGCCCTCCTGACGTTCCTCAGCCCCACACTGAGCGCCCTATTCCAGGAGTTGCAGGGTGCTGCGGGCAGTCCTGCGTGAGCCCCAGAACCCATAAGAAACTCTTCTTCCCAGCCCTCAGACAAAGACACTGAGGTCCAGAGAGGACCCCGGCCAGTGGCTTCCCTGCTCCCAGGCAAGAATTGAAGGAGGGGGCCTGACGTCAGTTGCCCTCACAACCACCCCCAAAGCAAGCGCCCTCACCCCACTTCACAGATGACAAAGTCAAGACAGAGAGGGAGACGCGCTGCCTGGGTCACACAGCAGGTGAGGGCCGCGTGGGTACCTGAACGGAGGTTGGCAGACAGCTTCCCAGGCTCCGGGGCAGGAACGCCCTCCCCACCTCCCAAGGCCAAATGCTCTCCGCCCAAGACGCCTCCCAGGGCGGGGCAGGTGGAAATCCCATAATCTGCAGGGGCCTCTCTAGAAAAAGTGGCCCCCCCAACACACCGCCTGGGCCGCAGGATTGGGTTTCCTGGCCTCTAATCAAAGGATTACCCAACAATCCCCGGCACCCACACGTGCCCGCACTGCCAGGAGCCTCCACAGCCATGCCACCCTCACACGCCTGAAGGGAAGGTCACTGCGCCAATGGCAGGGCCACAGCCACTGCCTGTGCTCCACCCACTGAGCCAGCCAGAGCAGGAAGGGCCTGGAAGGCAGGTAGGCCGCCTCCTCTCCAGCGCTCTCTACTCTCTTATGGGGCCAGGATCCCCGAAACTCACCAGGGTAGGGCAGCCCACAGCAGCCGCCTCGGCTCTGGAGGCCACATACGGCCCTGAGGGACCCATGGGGCCTCCTCTCCCAGCCCTGCAGCCCCACCACCTCCCTGGCCTCACAGCGGCTCCCAAGCAGTCCCTTGCCCCCACCTTGCGGCTACCACTCTGCCTGAACCGTCCTGCTGCCCCCACTGATAGCAGGAAGAGGCTGCATGGTACGCCAACCTGAGTGTAGCCTCTGGGGCCTGACCACCTGGGGGACCCCTGCTCTCTGTGCCTCAGCTTCCAGGCAGGGAAAGGGCAAGGATGGGCCCTCCATGCCCACCAGCTGTGTGGGCCTGAAGATCGGCTCAGCCTCTCCAAGCCCAGGCCTCCTCGGTAAATGGGGGCAACTCCCTACCCCAAGGTTCTGGGAGGGCAGCAGGCCTGGCACAGGCTGGCACCAGGGAACCTGGTGCACCATGGCTTGCTAGTCCTTGACCCAGGCCCCACCCCTGCCCTCACTCTGGCCTGGGAACCCCAGTGGGCCTGGGGCTTTCTCTAGACTGATCTCATAGGTCAGAACCCGCTACCCACCAGATGCCAGCACGAGGGCCCCCGCCCCTGGCCCAGCAGAGAGCCTTCGGGGAAACGGCTCCCCATTCAGGGTCTTCGTGTCGTCCACGCCAGCGACACCCACCACAAGCTGGCTCCAGCTTGTCAGATGCTCTGACCACCCCGACCCTCATGGTGGGCTTCACAGACCCCAGAGCGGGTGGGGCTAGGCCAGCAGTGGGCGGGGCTAGGCCAGCAGTGGGCGGGGCCTGAACCAACTCCAGCCCAGCTGTGCCCGGCCAGGCCCCAGGCAACAACACTGCCTGTCACTCACCCGGCTCCACAGGCACACCGCCAAGTGCCTCCACCTCCCAAACCCCAACCTCCGGCCAAGACCCAGAGCAGGGGTGGCCACACACAGTCACACACGGACGTGCCCCTGCCACCACGCACGCCCCACGGTGCTCCCCGAGGGCGGGGGAGGCCGGCCACCAGCAAGCACTCCCAGCAAGAGAGGAGCTCAGCGACCAGGTGTGCGGGGCCAAGCTGCCAGCCCGAGCCGGCCCAACCCCAGGCCACACACACCCATGCCTCCTCCAAGGTCCCGGCCTGGGCCAGGAAGCCGGGTGGAGACTGGAGGGCGGGGGCCTATCTAACCCAGAGTTGCTAAAAAGAGCCAACGGGGAAGTAAAAATAGGAAATAAAAATAAAATGGCTCCAGCCAGGCCTGGTTGTTTGTGTAGGAAGCAAGGCCCCTCCCCAGCCAGCAGGGAGGGCTCGGCTCCCGCTCCCTCCCAGAGGAGGAATGTCCCCTACCCTCAGCCCCCAGGACTCCAAGCACGCGCCAGAACCCCAGGCTGGAGGTGGGTCTAAGAGGAGTCCCAGGAAGCTGGTTTGAATCCCAGCTCTGCCATTAAATGGCCTTGACGTAGGGCAAGGAGCTGAGCCCTGCTGTGGGGCGGCCTCCACATCAGCGCTGGGGTGCAGGGAAGGAGGGAGCCTGCGGCACTGTGCTGGGCACACGCTCCAGGTACCACCCCCACGGCGGGGCCTGCGGTCACAGCTCTGGCCACCCGCCTCTCCCCGCCTGCCCCCACCAGGGCCCTCCCATCTGTACGCTCACTCCGCACCAAGGTGGGCCGTCAGGAGGCAAGGGCACCAGGCCAGGGTCAGGAGACAGCCTGGCCATCAGCTTGCCCCGCTAGCCGGCCGTGCCGCTCTCAGACCTCGATTTCCTTGTCCACACAATTAGAGGAAGCCTTCCTTCCTCTCCTTTCCTGTGAGGCCTTTCCAGAGTTCACATGAGGCTCATTCACACTAAAGTGTGCGTGACTGACCCTGGCTTCAGGATCGGCTCAGCTCCTTCTCCCAGGGCACAGAATTCCACAGAAGACAGGCTCCTGGCTTCTGCAGCTCAGACAGCCCAGCTAGAGAGCCAGGGAGCGCTGCTTGGGCCGCAGCTCACACACCCAGTCCACCCGTCCGACCTGGACAGTCTGTGGCTTCTGCACTGCCGGCACCACTCGGTAAGAGCTGCGGGCCCAGGCGTGGGTCGAGGCTCCCGCACCGAGACCATCTGCCTAGGGTGCTGGGGAAAGGAGCTTAGGGTGCCTACAAAAAGGGATTGGAGTGCTTCAGATGGTCCGTGATGCCTCTCACGCTGCGAGCCAGTGCCACATGAGCCCCACTGGACCAAAACAGACTGCTTCAGAGTGCTCCCCGGCATTTCCCAAAGCCCCGTGGCTTGACAATTATCACCCCTGTGCCACTCAAACTGGCTGAAAGGTCAGGAGGTGACATCACTGGTCTGCCCCACACCACCATCCCCACAATGGCCAAGGTCTTTCTAGAACATATATCTGCCCACAGTCCCCCACAGCCCGCCATTCTCCTGTCTGGGATCCCCGGCCCTCAGGACCCTTTAGCTAAGGAGGGAGCCAGGCAGCACGGGCAGCGGCCAATCTCAAAGCTGGACTTGCAGGTGCGGGCCGTCAGGAGGTGTGGGCACAGGGCACAGTGCAGCACATGCAGGCACACATGCCACAAAGCACAGCGCAGGCACACACATGAGGACACGGGGGTACACAGACACACGCTCACACGCAGGCGCACACACGAGGACACGGGGGTACACGGACACACGCTCACACGCAGGCGCACACACGAGGACACGGGGGTACACGGACACACGCTCACACGCAGGCGCACACACCAGGACACGGGGGTACACGGACACACGCACACACGCAGGCGCACACACCAGGACACGGGGGTACACGGACACACGCACACACGCAGGCGCACACACCAGGACACGGGTACACGGACACACGCTCACACGCAGGCGCACATTCCAGGACACGGGGGTACACGGACACAGGACACGGGGGTACACGGACACAGGCTCACACGCAGGTGCACATTCCAGGACACGGGGGTACACGGACACAGGCTCACACGCAGGCACACACACCAGGACACAGAGGGTACACGGACACACGCTCACAGGCGCACACACCAGGACACAGGGTACACAGACACACGCACATACGCACACACGCAGGCGCACACACCAGGACACGGGGGGTACATGGACACACGCACACACGCAGGCACACACACCAGGACACGGGTACACGCTCACACACAGATGCACACATCAAGACACGGGGGTACATGGACACACGCTCACACGGGGCAGGGAACAGAGGGACACAGATGCGGGTACACACACACTGGCTCAGACAGGGACACAGCTGTGCAGAGAGGGACAGACATGGTCGGGTACACACAGACACAGTCTCACGAAAGGGCATGGGTGTGCACACACACACACATGTACACAGGCTCACACAGACACACTCATACACAGGCTCACACACACATACATGCTCAGGCTCACACACAGACACACTCATACACACTCAGGTTCACACAGGCTCACACAGACACTCATACACACAGGCTCACACACAGACACACTCATACACAGGCTCACACACACATACACAGGCTCTCACACACACACACACACAGGCACACAGACACACATAGGCTCACACACAGCCACACTCATACACACAGATACATATTCATACAGGCTCACACAAGGGCATGGGCATGCACACCCACACACAGGCTCACACATGCTCACACAAGCGTGGCACCCACACACATACACACAGGCTCACAGGCTCACACACAGAGGCTCACACGCACACACCCTGGTGGGAACCCCGACCACATACATGAGCCTGCCCGTCCCTTTGCTCCATGCTGTTCTGGCTCCAGATGCCCAGAGAAGGGCCTGGGGAGGACACCATGGCCCTGAGGGCCAGGGAGTGGGGAAGGCAGAGCGCACAGGGCTCCACACCAGCCACCGCAGTCCCGGCCTTTCTGCCAAGAGCCCTCCAGGCTGCAGGGCCTCTGAGCTGGCTAGAGAGCATGAGAGGGTCCCCACAGACAGGGCACAGACAGGCAGGGCCCTGAGCCCATGGGGCCAACCCCGAGTGGGTGACTACCCGCCCTGCCCCAATGCCAGGCACTCAGGTGGCGGCCCAGGCCCAGCTCCGAGTCCCAAGGTCCCCGCTGGTGTGGGCACTGCCAACGCCAGGCTAGGCATCCACAGCAGGAGGCAGACAGCAGTGGTGACAACAATCAGCTCCTTGTTCTCAGAAAGGCGGCCAGGCAGACCTGAGGGAGGGCGAAGGGTCAGCAGGGAGGGCGGCACGGTGGCTGTCTCCAGAGCCCTGGAGGGAGGATCTCCAGGCCCCGGTGGACCCCAGAGACTCCCAAGTCCCCACAGAGGCCTGCTCGCTCCCCCAGCCTCACTCTCAGGCCTGGGCAGAGTGCAGGGGTCTGGCCCCAAGGCAAGGCCTAGGTGCCGGCTGGGGGTGGGGGCACCAGCTGCCCACTCCGATAACGAGTTTGCAGCTTATCAGCCACGTCCAGGCCTTGTGGGCTCCGACAGCCAGCCCCTCCTCTATCCCGCCAGCTGCCAGCCAACATCACTGCTTCCTAGGCAGGGGGCCTAACTGTCCACACGCAGGCAGGTCCTGGCCACAGACTGCAGCCAGATACACGTGAGAACACGCCTCTCCCAGCCAGCAAGGATGGCGGGGACCTCCCCTGCAACCCCATGACCTAGGGGATGCCAGCCCAGGTCAGAGGGACCCAGGCGCCACTTGGGCTGGAGGCACATCAATCTGGGACCAGAAGTGGCCTGTGGGCTGCAGCCAGGGGGACCCTGACACGAGGAGGCCCTTTCAGCACCACGGCTGACATGTGTTCTCTGTAAACCATGTCCCACGCCAGCCACAGGGATCCAGGAATGAGCCAGCAGGGTGGAGTGCCTGGCGATGGCCGTGCCCCACACACCTGCCCATCCTGCCGGCCAGAGAGAGGCCCAGGGAGGCCCCGGGACAACGCAGAAGGACAACGTACCTGTCTACTGTCAGGGCCCCTGACGCTGCCTTCCCTCTCTGTGCCCACTGCCCAGCGTTTCCCTCCATGCCCTACATCATCTCTGGCTGCCACTGACCACCCATCTCCCCTGCTGGCCTGGCAGCCCACGAGGGCAGGGACCTGCGTGTCACATCCTCAGAGCAGCTCTGGACAGAGGAGCCCTCCATGAGCACTGGTGGTGCAGTGACCCATCTCTCGCCTGCACCTCTCAGGGCTGGCATGCGGCTGCCTGAGCCAAACGAAACCCACCCGTCCCGTTTTTCTTTGGAGAGGTTCAAGTTTTGCATTCTACGTCTGCTCCAAGGACACCCAGGAGTCTCTAGGTGACCCCCAGGGGGAGGCACATCACTGTCTGACACAAGGGATGGCAGAGTCAACAAGCTCTGCCCAGGAAGCCTCTGATGACACAAGGCGGACACACGGTGTGCGGACGAGACACTGGCTTCTCCCAGGCCAACTCCTACACATCCTTCATGACCTAATTCAAAAGCCCCAACCCTCTGCACGCCAGGGTGAGCCGCGGATGCCTCCTCCATGTCCCTCCTGCCTCCAGTCCACCCTCCTCCCATCTCCACCCCAGACAGGGGCCAGGGATTCCTTACAGATAAGAAAACTAAGGCCTAAAGAGGGCTAAAACATCATCTGGTCCACGGTCACACACCATCAGGTGGCAGCATCCACCTGGGGTCCATCCCAGGCCATCTGACCCCAGGGATCACCACTGCCCACGTGAGGGCTAAGCCTGGCTCCTCTGTGCCTCCCTGATGGATGTGGACGG